AAAAAATTGCCGGCATCATTTTTTTAATTTCAAAAAACAAAATCTTATGTGCATAGAAATAACAATGATGGCGCCGATTTCCACTGCCTCGATAACTGTGTCCGCAGTGACCATAATGTCATCGTGTTTATGAACCACCTCGATTTCAGTCGTCTCACAACAGAAAACGAAAAATGGTGGATGATGGTGACAACGATCATGGAATTCCACGCAAAAGAATGAGGCTGGCGTGAACAAGGCTGAAGAATAAAACACCATGTTTATAATTTTTAAACCTTTTATCAACAATAAGCATGTGAAATTTTGAGAAAATATATAATAAAACTTAAAACTTAACAAAAAGTGTTTTAATTTTGCAATTTTATTTTCACCCGACGTATCTCCTTTAATTTTTGATTTGATGTAGAGTGTTCACATACATTTTGGTAGCGTGACCGGTCAAAATGTCCCCGGTCAAAATGTCCCGGTCAAAATGTAAAATCAAATCAAGTATCAAGTATCAAGTTCATATATAAAAACAGTTTGTTGTTTTAAAAATCCAAAAGTTCACATATAAAAACAGTTTGTTGTTTTAAAAATGTTTAAAAAATCCAAAAGTTCACATATAAGTTCCCATATAAAAACAGTTTGTTGTTTTCAAACAGTCACAAAGCCTTCGTAGTTCAAATCAAGTATTCAAATGTTAGATAACATTGATGTTCAGCACTCTAGAAATATCAGTCAGATATTGCAGTCTTTCTCTGTTCGCATAATCCGAGACCATTGTGAACAGAGCCGAATCAATGTTTTTGTAAGTTTTCTTTTGTTTCCGTTGTTCACGGCCAAGTTCTCCTTGTCTCCGAAGCAGATACATGCTGTGTTGCTCGAGTTGTAGCTTCCTTGATAACATTTTAGCAGTCGGGTGGGCGATACCAACAGAGTTGTTGAACGCATTGTGCCACCCTTCCACTAAGTTATTGCTTCTTGGTTGTTTTAGGAGAACCTGACAGTGCTGGTTCCACATTGTTATTGGAAATCTTGGTGCTGCTCTTCGGTTTCTCCGGAGACGTCCGATAAAGTTGTCTTCGAAATAATCTACAATCGAATTTGGTAGATTGTAATCCGGACTATCGATCAGCGTTTCAAAGGTCTCTATGACGTCGTCAACGGGAACAAATGCCAGGGCGATAAGCTGTTTGACTTTTAGAGCAAACGCGGCATCTTGTTTTTATTGCCTCACTAATCCCACTTCCTTGCACATGCCTCAAAATACACTGCCCGAAGTGAAACAGACACCCAACAATTACAACAGTGGGAAATTTCGCCTGGAAGGCATGGATGGCAGCCAGCTCGAAATCAGTGACTAAAGTCTGAGGACTGCCGAGTTCACGAAGCGACGATACAAAATCAAGGAATCGACGGTAGACATCCTCACTTCGTCCTGGTAACAGTGCGTAAACGCAGGGATATGCACAATTTTTGTCCCATCCGTGTACCGTATACAGTTGATGAAACCCTTCAGGCGTCACGCGAAATGTTCCATCAGCAAACCAGCAAGCAGACTTCTGGAGAAATTGAAGATCCTCGTCAGCTGCAAAAATTACCATATCATCTCCTTCGTCTGTCCGCAGGAAACGATGTCCTTCATGCGTAAGTCGACAAATTTCATCGGTGGCAGCATTCTGTGAAGCTGCACGACGTCTTCTGACGTTTCGCGCCATGTAATATGTAATATCAAAAAATAGTTTGATTTATTAGGTAACAGGAATTACATCAATCAAGGTTTATCAAAGGTACGGGCAGAGCCGTACGCAAACAGCTAGTAACTTATATTATTATATTATTATTATAGCTATATTTTTCAAAATGACTTTTGGGCCATTTCTACATTTTGACATTTTGACCGGGGACATTTTGGCCGAGATATTTTGACCGGGACATTTTGACCGAGGACATTTTGACCTAGAACCTTTTGGTAGAGTAATGAATGTTTTGGACAAAACGTCCAAACGACTGATTAAATCATAAACATCTAAAATTATACAAAACTAACAATTTGGCAAATAAACAGCTCAATAGATTTTATTTAGTCTTCAAAGATTGTGTTATAGAACAATGATAAATGGAGCTACTTTATTAACTGAGCTTCAACCTCTCATTTAGTAACTTTGTATTTAGAAACAATATTTGTGATCGCTCACGTTGGCTCATATTTTTACAACTTCAACATTCGACGTTATGAATGAAAAAATTGCAGGCATCATTTTTTTAAATTCAAGTAACGAAAATTTTTCAATCAACCGGTGGATCTTGAAAAATTCTCAATTCTTCAACACAATTTTCCAATTTTAATTTAAAAATTGAACTTTAAACTTGAACTATACTTTGACAAAAAGTATCTGCGTCATAATATTATCACCTGAAGTCAATTTTTTTTCTACTCTTTTACAAATTATTTAAAAAATGAATATTATACATTTTATCTGTTTCAATTGAAACCACGAGCGGACCTTGATATCTTTAATGTATGTTTATTGATGCATATTTTAATCATTAAAATTTATTTAGTAATTTTTGTGTTAATTAATTACCGATGTTTAATGGTAGTTTCAATAATAAAAGAAGAGCACGGCACGTGAGGCGTTTGTGTTTTGCGCATGAGCGTGTAAACCTTTTGAATTTTATTCACCCAATAAAATTATTCTAGCAAAGAAAGTTAATGAACATTGTGATCATTATGATGTTAGTGATTGCAGTGATGTCATGGCACTCCTGTCAACTATGACATTTCCAGAAGCTCAATTCATGTTATTATGTATCTTTGGTGTAAAGAGACCTATATAAGGCTGCATCGAAGGTGGTTTTTTCATTAAGAGTGTCAAGACTGTATCTGTAATTCAACCAAGTCAAGTTTCAACACAAGTTAAGTGGTAGAAAAATTTTTTTGAAGGGGAAACTTCAACGTTATCTTCAGCAGCCACAACTCTCCCTAAGACAATGGTTTCATGGACAGATTCTGTTAGAGCGGTGGTGGTGTCCAATACAACAGCCTTGTCATCTGTGCCTGCAGTGACCGGTCCTACAATGTGGTTTTATTTGATTTTGAAAGCGCATATTGTTATTATAAATTGTGTGTTTGTGTTATTGTTTCTCTGTGTGTGTGTGCGTGTGTGGTTTTTTGCACTTGTTATGTATCTTTTAATAAATGTTTAATAATTCTTATCATTATTTCTTTAATTAATAACGAATAAATTAAATAGTTTATTAGAATAATTTTTTATTAGTAACTAGAATTTTAAAACTATCAAGCGGGGGCTTCTGTGATGTGTGAGCGTGTGAACGTGTTAAATTTTATCCACTCAATAAAATGATGCCGAATTGAGTTCTAACAAGTAAAGTTAATGAACTTTGATAATCATTATGATGTTAATGATTGCTGTGATGTCGTGACACTCATGCTAATAAAGTCATTTCCAGGACCTCGGCTTATAATATGATATTATGCAACTTTATGCGTTGGCGCCTAGCTTTCCTTCAATTCAAGTTCGGACTTAAGTCAAGTGTAGGAAGTTTTTGAAGCAGATTCAACTTCATTCAAAGTATCCCTCAATAAAATGGCGTCATGCATAGAAATGATAATGATAAAGATGGCGCTGATTTCCACGGCCTCGATAACTGTGACCGCAGTGACCAGGCCCATAATGTCGTCTCGTGTTTATGAACCACCACGATTTCAGCCGTTTCACAACAGAAAACGAAAAATGGTGGATGATGACGACAACAATCATGGAATTCCACGCAAAAGAATGAGGCTGGCGTGAACAAGACTGAAGAATAAAACACAATGTTTATAATTTTTAAACTTTTTTCAACAATAAGCATGTGAAATTTTAAGCAAATATATAATAAAACTTTGTTTAATAAATGTTGTTTAATTTTGCAATTTTATTTCGACCCCACGTATCTCATTTAATTTTTGATTTGATGTTGTAGAGTGTTCAAATACATTTTGCTAGAGTAATGAATGTTTTTGACGAAATGTCCTAACGACTGATTAAATCATGAACATCTAAAATTATACAAGACTAACAATTTGGCAAATAAACTGCTCAATAGATTTTATTTAGTCTTCAAAGATTGTGTTATAGAACAATGATAAATGGAGCTACTTTACTTAACTGAGCTTCAACCTTTCATTTAGTAGCTTTCAATTTCGAAACAATATTTCTGATTGCTCACGTTGGCTCATATTTTTTCAACATTCGACGTTATGATTAATAAAATTGCATACAACATTTTTTTAAATTCAAATAACAAAAATTTTTCAATCCATCGGTAAATCTTGACAAATTCTCAATTCTTCAAACGCAATTTTCCAATTTTAATTTAAAAATTGAACTTTAAACTTGAACTTTACTTTGAAAAAAAATATCTGCGTCATTATATTATCACCTGAAGTCAATTTTTTTCTATTCCCTTACAAATTATTTAAAAAATGAATATTATACATTTTATCTGTTTTAATTGAAACCACGAGCGGACCGTGATAACTTTAATGTATGTTTATTGATGCTTAATTCAATCATTAAATATTATTTGATAATTTTTTTATTAATTAATTACTGATGTTTAGTGGTAGCTTTAATAATAAAAGAAGAGCACGTGAGGCGTCTGTGTAGTGCGCATTTGCGTCTAAACATGTTGAATTTTATTCACCCAATAAAACTATTCTAGCAAAGAAAGTTAATGAACATTGTGATCATTATGATGTAAGTGATTGCTGTGATGTCGTGGCACTCCTGTCAACCATGACATTTCCAGAACCTCATTTTATGATATTATGTATCTTTGGTGTTAAGAGATCTATATAAGACTGCATCGAATGTCGTAGTTTCATTAAAAATTGTCCAGCCTGTAATTCAACCAATTCAAGTTTGAACACAAGTTAAGTGGAGTAATATTTTTGAAACGGCACTTCAACATATCTACAGCAGCTAACACAAGACAATCTTACTAAGACAATGGTTTCATGGACAGATTCTGTTAGAGCAGTGGTGGTGTCCAATCCAACAGCCTTTTCATCTGTGCCTGCATTGTCCGGACCTATAATGTGGTCGCGAGTGTGCGATGATTCAGCACACTCCTTATCGTCTACAAAATTAAACGTAGCCGATTTAAATTTTTCAGACTGGCTGACGTTCGCAGAAAATTTTGCAATTGTGTGGCAAACGGATACGGTAACAGCAGTTATGGCGCTGATGCCAATGGAAATGTCATCCGTAGCTGCAGTGGCCGGGCCAGTAATGTCTTCGAAGGTGTTTGAGACGTCATCACGACTTTCATCGCTTCACAGCAGAAGAGTGGAAAGTAGAAAACGAAAGCTAAATGATGACTACAATGGTAATCCATATAAAAGAATAAAATTGACAACACCAACGTAAATGAATAGATAATCAAAACAGGGGAGGGACGCAAAGTTTATAACTTTTTTCAACCTTTCATTTATATTGTCTTAATGTGGAAAATATTTAAAAAAAAATAGAACATGTTGTGAGTGTTTTGTTTTAAATTTTAATTTGACTTTTTGGAACATTTGAAAATTTGGAACAAAATGTTTAAATTGATGATGAAATCATAAATATCTTAAATTATAAAAAAAACCAATAAACCAACAAATAATGTTGGTTAATTGATTTATTAATTAGTTAGTGCTCAATCGAATTTGAAATTTAGATGGATTCTGGGGTGAGCGATAAGGATGCATATCCCGTAGCATCGAATTTCGTTTAAAAAATGTTTTTCGGACTACTAATTTCGAAAATCAATTTTTTATATAATATAAATTGTAAATAAATTAAAGTTAATGTAGTGGCGATAATTTATATTGCTAACTGGTTGGCAGGACGGTCAATCTGGCGCCACAAAAGAAGAGGACGTGGGTGCCGTCGTCGCCCATCGAAGCGGCTCCACCAGAACCAGATGGACCGTTGTGCTATGTAATTGAACCACAAACTCCGGGCAGCAGTCATGATTTCGGCAAAATATCCGTCTTCAAAATTCACTAATTTTTTGGCAAAGCTTTACATTAGTGCCTCAAAGCAAACGAAATTCAAGTTAATAAGTATAAGTGAGAGTATGTTAAAGGGTAAATATGTCTAAAAGTGAATTGATATTAAGACTATTAATTATAACTGTTAAAATTTTTAATGATTTAAAGTGAAATACTGAAAATAATTTTTAAATATTGTAAATTAAAACATTTTTTTAACAGTCATCATTTATTTAATATTTTTATAGTGTTAAAGTCGTAATTTTGGCATGCTTTTAAAAAGAAAGTTTTTACATTGTAGGGCTGTAGGCATTAAAGTAAACCCCCATGCTTGCCTGGTTATGTGCAGTTGACATTGAAATAAACTTCCATGTATTTATTTGCACGACCTTTAACATTTAAAACTTAACATGAGGCATTAAAAAAACTTAAAGCATATATTTGCATGAATTTTAACATAGCGTTATTAACATAAATTCACTTTTTCGACTTTTTGAAACATTTCGCCAAAATTATTAAAATTTTGAATAAAATGTTAAATTTGATGTTGAAATCATATACATTTAAAATTTAAAAAAACTAATGACCCAACAAAAATGTTGATTGTTCAATCGAATTTATTTAACACTAAATGTTCGTAAATTTTAAATCGAATTAACAAATAACTGCACTTGACCTCTCTACTAAGCATTTTATAGTCTCAATTTCGAAACCATTTTTGTAATAATTCACGTTTGCAAAATTTGTTCAACTGCAACATTTGACGTTAAGATTACAAAAAAATGTCCACATCATTTTCTTCAAGTATAATGAACATGCAAATTTGATTAAGCTTTGGTTTAGTTTACAAGCTGAAATTGATATTTGTCCATTGAACAACAGACTAATTCAACTGAAATGACTGATAATTTGAATGAAGCCATGTCATATTAAATAAGATTTTAATTGAAAAATAAGTCTGAAATATTATTTAATTTAAAAATTAATCAATACTTCATAAATCAATTGTTTTCTATTTAAAATTTTCTTAGAAATAACAACGAGTTATTATTATTTTGGTTGAATGGTCTTTCCTGGAATGTCCAACGATTGATCATTTATCACAACTACTACATTTAGTAAAAATCGGGGTAAATTTTTCCAATTTTCGAAAGATCTTGAAAAAATTAACTAGCTGTTTAAATAAAAAAATTTTTTAAACCACGAGTCCCATTAAATTCATTTGATTTCAATTCAATGTCTTAAGTTAATAACTTGAAAGAAACATAAATCAATTAAAAAAGCACTGTTGCACTTTTTCCTCGGTTCAGTGGTATCAACCGCACTCAAACAGCGTATATTATCTATGAATATATGCCATACGACGTTAGGCGGAGTTTTTTCATCACATTTGAACATTGCTATACAACTTTTTGATTTAATTTCATGTTTGGTTTCAACCGTTTATGGAGATCTCTTGAAATTTTGATGATTCTTATATTATTTCTGTTTTGATTGTACCATTGTGTCAATCAGGCCCAGACGGATGAAATAATGATAAGGTCAGGAATAAATTTTAACTAAGCTCTGCATTTTCAAATGGGCGAAACAAAATTTTATAATACTAAGGGCAATTTTTTAAGTAAACTTGTCGTTAAACCAAAAGTCCAGATTCTATCATGTAAATAGGGCTAACGCCATCTTAATGGTCTCACTCTTAATGTGTTAAACAACGACCCAGGCTAATCATACACTTAAGTAGTTTTATTTTTTTAAAGTTCGGTCACCAAAAAATAAATTACGATGAATAAAATTCATGTGTATTATAATTTATAATTGAAAAATTCAATTAGTCATAATGTCATTGAGTGACAACGTTAAGTTATGGGGATCAGTAGCACATGCCAATGAAGCCGGTCCCTATCATGTTGGTCTTGATGCATTTCTTGTCGACCGGACACGTTGTTTCCTGGATAGAACATAACAATAATAACAATAACTATAATAATAATCATATTTATTAGTTATTAATATACTATTCATAATATATTATATATTATCATTATTAATTAATATTATGAATATAATCGAAATAATCCTTATAATTTTTCTTTCATCCTAAGTGTTATTTGTATTGTTCCTCATAATTCCACAAGTAAAATATTTATCCTGTTGTTACTACAACTACAACAACAACAACTAATACTACTACTCTGGCTGCTGCTACTACTACTGCTACTACTACTACTGCTGCTACTACTGTTATTATTATTATTTTTCATTGTTTTTTGATCTTATTAAAAAAAATTTCCATTATTATTATTATTATTAACTTTGCATGGGTCAACGCAGGAGCAGGTCTGGCAGTTGTTGGGGTCCCTGATGTAGCCACTCACCGAACATTTGTCAGCGCACGTGACCGCCGGACAGGAAGTGACTTAGAATAGGTTTTTTTATTATTATTTTTATTATTAAAAATGTTTTTAAAAATTTACTCATTAATGATATTTTTATTAACACACACGCAACACACACACGCAACACACACACACACACACTCTCTCTCTCTCTCTTTTTCTCTCTTTTTCTTTTTCTCGTTCTCTTCCCCTTTAATTTGGATAACCCCATCCCCCGACGTACATGGTTCACAGACGGCAGATTTGAGTCCGCAGGGAGTGAACGTGCAAGTTGGAATGGGCTTGATTGTGCACATCTGGCCTGCAGGGCATAGAAATTTCTGAATGATATGTTTGGAATCAAATTATAATATTTTATAATTATAATAAAATAATTATTATCATAATTAGCTAACGTCAGTGGGGCAGCCAGACAGATCTTGGACGCACGAGCATTCGTAAAACTTCTCAGTGCCTTTGAAGTGGACTGGGTACGGATTGTTGTACTTCACACACTCTGGACAGGCTGAATATATTTGTTTGTTCGTTTGTGTGTTTTTGTGTGTAATGTGTGTGTGTAATAATGTGTGTGTGTGTGTGTGGCGTGTGTGTGTGCGTGTGTTTGCCAGTGTTTAGGAACGTATGTCTGTTTTTGACTGTTTATTTTTGTGTTTATAATGAATAAACTAGTCGAAAGGTTGAAAATTGATGATCTCTTCTCTGTTTTTTTTTTCTATGCTGTATCGTTGTTACGTTTGCTCATTTTGTAATTTATTCTTTCATTCATTTCTTCATTTATTGATTCATTTATTGATTCATTGATATATTCATTCACTGACTCAATTCATTCATTCATTCATTCATTCATTCATTCATTCATTCATTCATTCATTCATTCATTCATTCATTCATTCATTCATTCATTCATTCATTCATTCATTCATTCATTCATTCATTCATTCATTCATTCATTCATTCATTCATTCATTCATTCATTCATTCATTCATTCATTCATTCATTCATTCATTCATTCATTCATTCATTCATTCATTCATTCATTCATTCATTCATTCATTCATTCATTCATTCATTCACATTTATTCATTCATTCATTCATTCACATTCATTCATTCACATTCATTCATTCATTCGTTCATTCGTTCGTTCGTTCGTTCGTTCATTCGTTCATTCTTTCATTCGTTCATTCGTTCGTTCCTTTATTTATTCATTCATTCATTCATTCACTCTTTCATTCATTCACTCACTCATGCAACTGACCACAAGCGATGACTTGAAGCACGCTGACCGCAATTATTACCCTTGCAAACATCTAAAAACAAATTTAATGAATGAACGACGAAATTAATGAATGAATGAAGGAACGAACGAACGAATGAATGAATGAATGAATGATCGAATGAATAAAATTAATATTAATTATATTCATTAATATTAAATTAACAAAAATAAAAACATTAAAAGTAATAAACAATAACAAACCGTGAAAGAGTTAATTCAGCACAAAATGAATTTCTCGTACTGATGAAATGCAGTTTTCTTGATGACTTTTATACCATTCAAACCTACCGCTACATCTACTCTTTCTCTATCTCTCTCTCCCTCTTTCTCTCTCTCTCTTTCTCTCTCACTCTCTCTCATTCTCTCTTTCATATAGATATTTTTCAACATAAATTTTATTTCTTTTTAATTACTTTATATTTTTTACGATTAATAGTTTAACATTTTTAATAAAGATGGAAAAATTATCGGTAGAATTATGCGAAGAATAAAAAAAACCATTCTAGTTGGGCGGGGTTGCTCTAATCGCCATCATCGTCGTCGTCATCATCATCGTCATCATCATTGTCGTCATCATCATCATAATCATCATCATCAGTAGCTGCACAGTGCATTTGTTAACATTATCATTGCTACCATCATCATCATTAATTTAAACAAACGCCATCAGCATCACCATTTTTTTCATCATCATCATCATTATCATCATCATCAACATTTCCATCATTATCATGCTCATCACCGATACAATCGTTATCATCAATGTAATTTTCATATCGTTATCATCATCGCCTTGGTAGTCGATTTATCATTAAAAAATTTACGTCCATATTTCATTATCATTGTTTTTGTTATCATCATCAACATCATCATCACCATCATCTTCATCCTCGCCATCCTTCTTCTCCTCCTCATCAACATCCTCATTATCATTATCATCATCGCTACCATCATCATCATCATTCTCATTATCATCATCATCGTCATCCTCCTGCCTATCATCATTCTCATTGTCACCATTACCACCATCATCACCACCATCGTCATAATCATCATCATAATCTTCATCATCAGTTCAGTATCTGCAAACAACGCAGCATCATCATCGTCAGTGGTAAAGAAATCAAAAAATAACATAACGTCACGACATGCTACATGCTGCAGATGTCATGTTATTCAATACATACATCATATACGTACAATACAGACATAATACATATGTATATAATTATATGCATATATTTATACGTATATATTTATATGTATATATTTATATGTAGATATTTATATGTAGATATTTATATGTATATATATATAGAGAGAGAGTGATATATATATATATATATATATATATATATATAATTATTTATTTTTATATCATTGAACCGCGACCTTTGCAAAACAGCTTGCTAGGTCATAACAATGGATTATGTTATTTATATTTACTATAATAAAAAAATTTTATTAAAAGGAAAATAAGAAGCGGTATAAATGATGACAATAAGAAAAAGGTGTGTATATATTCAATAAATAAATAAATAAATATATATATATATATAAACGTTAATATATATATATATATATATATATATATATATATTACTTTCAATAAATTACAGTTTTAATTGATTTTGTAATAATAAATTCGGTTTTGTAGTATTATGTTTAGATTTTGTTCATGCGACCGTCATGAAGCTTCGGGACTGCCACACTATCTACCCAATTACATATTTTTGAATTTTTGTAATGATAGGTATGTATATGTATATGTATGTATCATCATATATGGAGAAATATAACTTAATTTGCGTTCGAGATTGCTTCAATTGTAATCTACGACTTTATGGGTTGGGCGAAAAAATTGGCTTGGATTTAATCTAGAAAGTGAAAGCCCAAGCACCCAGACACTTATTTCTATCTCTATCCTAACTTTCATTATATATTTATTACAGGAAAGTTAATGCTAATCACATATCATTTCCTTTTTTAATGCAATTGCTTCACATACATCAACGACACACACACACGCACATATACATTCATACACACACACATACACACTTACATATACACACACTCATACACACACATATAAACATACATTTACTCATACACACGCACACACACACATATACACATACACACTTTTACACACGCACACACACACATATACATACACACATACACACACAAACACATAGCATTGTATGAGATGAGATCAGGTCTCTTGACATTTAAACCTGACTGGGCGTATCCAAACATGAAGCCACAACGCCGATCTGAACGAGCAGATTTTTTACTTTAAAAATATCTCTACGACGATGATCGTGATAAATCTGATAATATCAAAGATCACATCGATTAGATTATGACGAAGAAAATGATGATAATGATGTGTATGTATGTGTGTGTGTGTGTGTGTGTGTGTGTGTGTGTGTGTGTGTGTGTGTGTGTGTGTGTGTGTGTGCGTACGTACGTGAAATGCACTTCGTTTGCAATTAATTATTAAATAACTTTTATTTTAGTAACAAATCAAATGTTTGGATAATTTTTTTTATTTACATAAAAAGAAATGTTGTAACTTTGGTAGTGTTATTACATTATTACATATTGTTTAGTACAATTTTTAATCTTATTAATTATTTACAATTTTGTCATTATCACAAATGGAGGTGGGTGGGAAGTGTGATGACTTCATGCTTGCTACAGTAAATTGTATAAATGCTAGGTATAATTTCACGAGAAACATCATGTGAATTTGCGTTTGAAATTGCCTTGGATGTAATCTAAAAAGTAAATACAGAATTGAAGATCAACAAAATCCAGTGAGGCACCTCGACGTTGTACATTTACGTTGCCTGAATTTTATTTCTTGTGGTGTTTTCTTTTAATCTTTATTAAACCGACTTTCTTTCTTTTTTATCACCTATCGTTAATAATGAAAAATGTTTTAATAGTTCAAATTAAAAAAATTATTATTATATTGAATTAAAAAAGTTATTTTTTTACTTATTTTTAATTAACGTTTGTTTGACTATCGGAAACTGAATTTATTGAGGACTCTGGGAAGAATTAGGAACATGTCCGTTTTTTATTTTTCATTTTTAAAATATTTTTTAATACCGTGTTTTTAGGAAGATAAATATGTGTAGTGATATGCAACCATCTTTAATACTGAAAATAAATGACAAAAATTTAAGTCGGATAGGACTCAGTAATTTTATTGTAGACAAGCAATTAAAATAAAATTAATTATTTAAATAATGTTATGTTAGTTATGTTGAAGTAAAATTGCATAATTTTTTTATTATGTTTCATTTTAATACTAAGAAACAATTAAATTGACTGATTTCAAAATTTTTTTTAAATATTTTTCATTTATCAGGGATATTTTAGAAAAATTATGTGGCAAAAGTTAAAAATTTTTTTGGGTCTCGATGCCCAAAGCCGGTAATTTTACCTGGAGTTGGAGTCGAAATTTTTCTGAGGGACGGGAGTCGTATATATTTCATCCGACTGACGCCCTACTCTGTTTTTAAATTTTATTTTAATCGCCAGTCTACAATAAAATTACTGAATTTAACCGACGGAATCTATTTACCTCTAACAACTCTGTTCGGTAATGTTTAAAGTATCCGAAGAATTTAGGTAATGTTTGCACAAATTACCCGACTAAATGTTTTAATACTTTAATTAAATTTTTAAACTTTAATGAATGTTATTAAATGAATTTCAATGAATTTTTTAAAGGAATTTTGTCATTTTAACCGATTACAAATATTGTTTTGAAGTTGGAACTAACTCAGTCATTTGCTAATGTGCTCTAAAATTTAAAAATATTTTTTGAAATAAAATCTACCGAACAATCAGTATATTTGTTATCATATTGGTTTGTATTAATTTAGTTTACATTCAAATGAATTCGCTCTACGTTCGCCAACGTTCTAGCGGAAAGTTTGAGAGGCCCACACAGTAAACTTATAAAATTAAAATAAAAAATCTTTTTATAAAGAAATATTCAACTCTTCTTCGACAATAAACTAAACGCTAAATTTATTTCAGAACTACTAAATAACCCGAAGTTCAGACTGTAATGGTACTTCGAAATTTGACGTTAGGTTATTTATTGGTCCGAACAAAGATGCATAATAGCACAGACCTACAAATGTGTTTGCTAAATTACTCCCTTACTATGCAATTTCTAACATAATATTATACAATATATTCTTCGTTACAATTAAAGTTAGCAATATTGATTACATTTATTATCAATAATAATTACAATTATTGTTGGCAATAAGTTTAATAATTCGGCAGAAAAAGTTTACTTGGAGTAACATATTTGATTTGACATTATTTTCTGCTACGTACATTCACACAAATCCGATCCAACTCAAATATTCATATTCAAATCTGCTGTTAAATGAAATGAATGATTGAATTGCCATTTTTTTAACCTTTTTAAAACCGACACATAAGGATGAACAACAGAGCACTCCGATTTCCAAAATTGAAAGTGCGTGATGGAGGGAAGTATTCAGACACGGATTCAATTGGTAACTTGGAAACAAATGAATTTTCTAGTCAGTCCTGTTATTTTATTTTTCGGCTTTGTACGGATTTTTCAGTAAAAAATTCAAAATATTTATAATTGTTTCAAATGATTTTTATAAAAATTTGCCGTCGTAACCCAATTCTCTCTTAACGTCTCATTCATCTTTTCGAGAATGTGGGAGTCACGTTAGGCTAAATAAAATTCTCAGTTAATTTGCGAGCCTTTAATTTTCGTCCTCTTATCACAAATATTTTAAACTAAAATATTGTATAAAAATTCGCACCCAAAAGCTTCTAAAACAGTTGCATACAGCCTTTATAAAAATACTTATTTTATTGAAAGTCGTAGCCTATAGCATAATTAATTATTCAAGTTAACATGTATCAGACAACTGATAACAACTCTAAATGTATTTTTCTATATCAATTTTTCATTTAATTATTCATTTAGATATACAAGAAATTTTTCGTTATTCTCAATTATTTCTTGACGTGGATTCGTTGAAACTTGTGCAGCATCGCAAGCTCACCTCATCCAAGCACCACATTACGGCACAAAGTTTGAGACAAACTATTCATAGGTGTAAAATGGAAGGATGAATGGAACAAGCCGGTGAACCTCCTACTTGCTCAAAGTAATTAAGAAAACAGTAAAAAAATGATAAAGTCAAAGTGGAAACAACATGATAATAATCAAAAAATTACAAATTAGCAACTCTAAAATAACTCATTTATGAAATCGCAATAAAACGGATAATGATACATATACAGCGAAAGCAGAAGTCACTATAAAGATCAATCAGCGATCTACACGATTGCTAAGAACCAAAACGTTGTAACTATACGATATCAGTTATAATACCACCCATTTTCCAGATTTTATTGTAAGTTATATGCACGAAAACAATTACCTTTTTCAGATTTTAACTAATTCAAATTAATTTCATGAAAACAAATAAATTTTTTTAAAGATGAATCAGTTTTATCTTATAAACCTTATCAAATTCCACAAATTATTAAATGCTAAATCAAAACGTTACTGTCAGTAGCACAATTAATTGTGCAAGAATCAAGATTATCACATGAAAACAAAAGACGTGTTTGTGAACACATTTATTCAAATTTGTGACCAAGGTAAAGGTTAAAATATAATTTGATTGACATTTTATAAAATAAAACCCCAATACCATTGTTTAAAGTCATCAATTAATTAAGGTAAAATAAAGTTCTTCATTGTACAGATGATTATAAACCACAAATCTTTAATGAAGCCATCAGTTCATCATCAGCCTTGGTTCACCTGGTGAGTAATGAAAAAACCAGCAATTTAACAAACACTTAAAAAAGCTAACACATAAAATTAAATTTATAAAAATTAAATCAAACGTGAATAAGATAAATCTAACATTAAGTAAAACATCAAAAATTAAATTTGGCATATTTATTCAACACAAACTGCACCAACGGACTAAAAGTTATAAAATTTATGCATGCAATTGTTTGACAATGTTTACTACTTGGAATTGAAACTGGGTTCCTTAACAATTATGCCTTATTTATTCAATAAAAGATTCAAAATCTGTAGACCTAAAGAATCTATTAACTCTATCAATAAATGAATCAGACAGAGATAATAATCCAGATTTTCAAAAATAACTACAAATATTTGTAACTATTATCCCAGCATGAATGAAATGTTATAAATTATTTACCGTATGTATGTAGGGTTTGGTGTAAAAACTAAATAAATTATAACAAAAAATTAATATTGGTAGTATTTAATACAATAATAACAATATTAATAAACAAGAAAAAAATGAACACAGAACAAACAAGAAAAACAATACAGACTCTAATAAGCTATCAGCAAAGGGGACGCATCCCCACCATGTTCTCAGTAGCTGTGGTTGGCAGTTCGACCACTTTTTTCAGAAGATCAGTTAATGGAGAGAGACATGAACAACAAACTCCAAATGGTGAAAGTAGGATGTAGAAAAAGGCAAGCAGAAATCCCAAGGGCCATGCTAGAAATATTAGTATCAAGAACCATAAGATGGCATAACAAAGATCAGGACATCCAGCCATCTCTAAATACAAAAAAAAATATCAATTAATAAGAAAATACATTTAATTTTTAATAATATGAAATAAGAACTATAAAAGTAGTTTATATAAGATATTTAATAACTAATTTAATTTTAATAGCTTTCGTTTTGAATTTATTTAGATTTAGCTGTATTAGCATATGAATTATAAATTTTCAAAATATGTTAGTTTTTTTTTTAGGTAAAAAAAAATTTTAAGTTAAATTCGTGGTTCTGTTTCCAACTTTGAAAACAAATATTTTCTTTTCGTAAAATACAATGAGAATTTAATAAAATTTTAGTTTATAAAAATGTAGCCGTAAAATTAGGCGTAAAAATAAAAACTAAAAAAGGCCGTTCCAGCTGGCCACATTGAAAATAAAAATTAATAAAATTTAAAATAGGTGGTTGGCTCAATCAAACATAGTTTCCAGAATGTATTAAAGTAAAAAAATGTTTAAAAAAGCAAGATATACCTTTCTGTTTGAGATAATTGAATTCAGAAAAAAAATGTTAGCTTCCAAAAGTACAATCGGCGATCAAATGAACGAAAGCGAGCACCGAATCAAGCCGAATTTAAAGAAATGCAGACGACAGCCACAATTTCGAAATTAGAAGTTTAAAAGTATGGAAAAACAAAACAATTTTATTTATTCAATTTCAACAATCAATCAAATTTGTATAGCCCAATTTATAAAAATTGGGCTATAAAGAAAGTAGAATATAACATATATTATATATATATTATTATATATTATATTATATAACAAATTATACAACATAATAAGATATATTATATATATGTTATATTCTATATATACGACTGGACTAACCCAAAGTTCGTATAACAAACAATTATGAAAAAGTACAAAAAATTAAACAAAATTAAAAAACTAAATAACAACAAATTTAACAAAATGAAATAAAAATTATATATTATATTATGAAAAAGAAAATGAAAAAGCATTTTCAGTCCTGTTTCTCCGCCTATCGGGGATGATCTTCCAAAGGATAAAAATGTCTCAATTTTATAAGATCGCTCCAATTTTATAACATTTTGTGGCAGTTATAGGATTAAAATTAATTTGGAAGAAAATTGGCGTTTTATTTAAAAAAAATATTGGCGGGCGGGCAAAAATTTTTTAAAGGACCTTCATTCAAGCGTCAAATATATAAATTAATAAATTTTATTTTTAAACGTTCTTAATAATAATAATAATAATAAAATAATAAAATGATAAAAAAAAGTTATTTGTGCAGCGCCCTACGCATAGCGTCAGAGACGCCAGGATAAACAACGTCAGCACGGCCAGCAAAGGCCCGTTCGAATAGATGCTATTCCAATCTCTTCTTAAACATTTCTATCGATGTTTGTTGACGGATGATGAGTGGCAAAGTGTTGATTAACAGATGAGCGAAAGCGAATGAGTTTGTGAAGATATGGTGGTTGAGTGCTGTTCTTTCAAGTTAACATTGATTTATTGCCAACGTTTTATATTATAAGCATTAATTAATTATACGTGTGTGGTTTAGTTATTTATTTATTTTTTTTTTTGAAAAGTTTATCTGGTCAGCCAATTATATTTTAGAGTTATTGCATGTTTGCTTAGACGGTAGACGTGCCAAGTCGTTGTGGCGTGGTGACCTAGTTCGAACGCTATCAACCCGAAGCTCATAACGTATTATATGACTTGAGAGCGCAATGCCATTGATAGCGCGTAATTACGAAATGCAATAATTTAATTCCAGACGACAAAAAACAATGAATAAACCCAGAAAAACAAATTTAATTATTTCATTTAACAAGTTTAGAAGCGGAGTTGAATGTGGAAAAATAATAAACCCATGCAAAAAGTTTTCACATTTTTTTATGTTGACAATGATTTTATTCTCATGAAACATTTTGATGTGAAAGATTGAAGCAACTACACATTATAAACTGCCGCGATATATCCAGCTGATACACTCAATAGATCCGTGTTTAATAAAATAATAATAAAAATCATTCAAAGACATCAGTCAATTCGAATTAAAATATTTAGCTTCTTTTTCAAAAATTTCTACGAAAAACACGAAGTTTCATAAAGTGTTGGTGGCTCCTTGAAGTTCAGCAAATCAGCATTGTTTACTTTCGGCATATCACTTAGTGCTTTAAGACTGTAATAGCGCTGTGGTGAGTTGTGGATGTTGTTCAAGCAAGGATGGTCGTGATGGTAGATCTTTTGCTGATCTGCCAGCATCATGTTCTCAGTTTCTATAACGTTTGCAACATCCAGGAAGGAATCATCCAATCCAAGGACGATCGGCGGAGACTGAAATGCTTTCCTGGAGACCTTACTGGACATGCAGCTGCTTTGATATGTTGCCGGTCTTATATTGTTGTTGTTGTTGTCGTTGTTGATTGAATTGTTGACGCAGTCCCTTGAGTCTAGAACAAGCCAGTTATTGTGCAAAGGTTGGCTTTCGGAGTTCATGGCGTTGAGTCGTGTCATCTGAATGGATGGTGGGTATGTGCTGTTGGTGCTGCTGTTGGAAGTTACTGGAACCTGGAACCTCGGTTGTATTTGCTGTTCCTTGGGTGAGCTGTAACCACCAGAGAATGGGTTGTTTTGACGTTGCCTGCGATTTTTGTGAAGGTTTGTGGTGACAGTGGAAAATATCTGATTATTTTTATTTGATGGATTGATGAACATAATAAATAAAAAAAATCATGCCGGCATCTAGCTATTTTTAACAAATTTATTTTGTTTGAACTTCTAATTCATCATTATTTTATAAATCAACAAAAAACAACAATCCCAAATAAAAAATTAATTGATTTCGAATGATGCAATAATTTCATAAAAATAAGAACAGGAACGATAAAAACTCTAAAAATTTTGAGGAAAGGATTATATGATATCTTAAAGAAATAAATTGAAAGGATTTCAGATGTGACATGCTCCATTTTAGTTTTCTTTATCATTCCTCTCTTCTTTTGTATTCGCATAACAAAATAATAATGGAACAATCGAATGTTTGATATCTTCGTTTGTATGGCTCTGGCATTTTTACCAACCGTTGTTGTAATATAACGCGACATCAAACATGTGTGTTTAGGTGAGCATGTGTGTGCATTTTAGAGTTAGTGGATTTCATTAAATTATTTAACCACTTTTTAGATATTTTTCTTTTGAAATAATAAAGAGTGAAACTTGAAAATGAATTTAATAAAAAAAAATTAATGACCGTTTGAGATAGAGCGTGATGAGGCATAAGAGGAAGCCTCCGATCACGATCCCCATGGCAACGCCTATAGAAACGGCTAGCAACACACCTTCAAACATTCATTTCATCTATTATTCAATTTTTTTCATTATGTTATTTTTAAAATTAGTTTGTATTTTGGGTCAAATCTTTTAAAAATGGTATTTAAAAACAAAGAATTTTTTCCAATTTATGCAAGCAGCATTTAGTCGGTGAGGTGACACCATGTCCACGGATTTATTCATTCATTATTGGTGATCGGTTTCAAATTTAGTAAATTTTATATTTTATTTTAATCTGTCAATTTTTTAAAATATAAATTTATATTCTAAAATAAATAATAAAAAATAACCAAATGGAAATGAATCTTCGGCATTGAACATTTGACCAAGACTCCAGCTGTTGAAAGAATCTGAAAAAAATAGTTCGAGAAATGTGTAGCAATTAAATATTTTTTCAAAATGAATTCTGAATGACTGAAACAAAATAAACAATCGTTGAATATTTGCAAAATTTTCATGAAGAATTATTTCCAAATAATGTACAGTAGGGAGCACAGAACGAACCAGAGTAACCCGCGGAACAGTTGCCAACTTCTCCCGACCACTCGTTGCCCCTGCAGACCAGGTGCCACTTCTGTGAGGTGCTGTTGCAACGAACTATCAAACTGTCCCCTGTCTTCTGCTGCCAGCTGTTTGCCGAAGCTCTCAACGTTGGACATCCTACAACTGTTTCGCATTATTTTTTGTTTAGTTCGTTGTTAAAGGTCATTTGTAGAATCAACGCTGTCATAGTTGTGAAGTTAAAAAAAATTCAAAGTTCATAATAGTTCGACGAAGTTAAAACAAAAATAAAGTTTTCAAAAGTTCGAAGTGCGACTACTTTTACGTCAATGGCAGTCAATATTGTAGATGCAAACAGTTAATCAGTGAGTCAGTAATCAGTTGTTCAATATGGACTCAATTCTATTCATTGTCAGTGTCAGTGGCACTGCTGCTGCTGTGTGCTGTAACTTTTTGGTTTTAACTCATAGGCAATTATTGCTTGCATTTTTGAAGTGATCATTTGAACATGAACTTCATGAAGTTCAAAAAAATTCAAGACAATAGTAAAGTTCAGAAAGTTCGAACGTCACAACTATGGCCACTGTTATATTATTAAACCGATAAATAGCTTAACTTTGTTTTTTATTAGGTAAAAGGCTTATTTATTTGTAATTAGATTCATTTGAAAATTTAGAATTCTAACTTTTATTAAACTTTTCAAATATTTTAAACAAAGACATCAAAAGATAGAATGATCAAATGAAAAAGAATTTACCAAAACAAATTTTTTTAACTTTTATAATAATTGCAATGTTAACTACGATTCAATGGATATCATAACCTAAGCACGTAATATTAAACAAGTAGCAACAGCGTTCAACACTTCACCATTGAACTCCAAGATAAAAATTCCGAGCTCTCTCAGCATGTGAACATCTGTAAATTCAATTCGGATGATGTGGAAGTTGGTAAGCATGAGATGGTGGTCCCTGGTGGCATCGTTCTGGCAGACCGTAATGGATCGCTTGCCTTCCGCACCATCTACCACAAAACCTATCTCGAAACAGGCTTTGTTGTTGGTGGTGGTGTGCAGGATGGCGTTACTACTACTGGAATCGTCCGCACCGTACTGGTACAACTGCTTGTTGAGACTGTACGACGACTTTGGTCTGCTCCAGTTTTGTTTGTTCTGCTGCTGACCAATAATGTCGTTTGATATTTATTGCTATTAAAAACAATAACATTCTATCATTTTGATTTTTAAACCTCTTTTTTCACACATTCCAAAAAAATACGTGTCACTTTCTCCATGTTCAACACGCTTATACTTATCTTAAAATACAAATTAGCTGAGATATGTAGTATCAAAAGTGCCTGTTTTATGTGCGAGTATGAGCAGACACAAACAACTAAAAGATTATTAAACAGAGCAAGGAATCACGTTGAAATAAAAAAATCTTAAGCAAGCACTGAAACCTTATAAAGTTTTAATGAAAAGATTTCCATATATTAATTGTTATTTTTCAAATAACCTCAAATTTTTTGTACAATTGTTGCAGCACGCTATGCATGGTCAAGTTAATTCTCTGTCCAGGGAGGGCCTCGATGACCCACGGACATTTGGTTTCCGATGACTGGTCAGTTGATGCAATCACGTGACTGATAATATAACCGTGGTTGAGATTTGTAATCTTTTGATAAGAAGATTGCAAACATGCTGTTTGGTTAGGAGCTATCACTGTATGGGTGGTTGAATAATGGGTTGGTTGGTTGATTGGTTGGATAGTTAGTCAGTTGGTATGTTAGCTGAATGGTTGGATGGTTAGTTTTTGTTATGGTTCTATCTTAATTGTAGTTATCTGGTTTATTTTTCATTTGAAATTTGTTAAATGGCTTGTTAATACAGTTTCGTATTGAATTAAATCACGCCAAATTGAATTTATATCAATAATTATGGATAACAACTCTTGAAATCTATTAAAATATAAGGCTAATAAGAAAACACTTGAATAACAATATTAAATTTTCTAATCAACTTATATAAGTATCAATAACAACAGCTACAACAACAACAACAACAACAACAACAACAACAACAACTACTACTACTACTACTACTACTACTACAACAACAACAACAACAACAACAACTACTACTACTACAACGACAACAGCAGCAGCAGCAGCAGCAACAACAACAACAACAACAACTAACAACCCGGTAAGCAGAGGTAAGTAACTTCGAGATAAGATGTGAAGTCGGAAGGGCATGGATGGGTCTTGTAAAGGTCAGGGTCAGGAACCTGGTTTACCATGTTTTATACTACTATTACTACTGCTACTACTACTACTACTACTACTACTACTACTACTACTACTACTACTACTACTGCTGCTACTACTACTACTACACTACTACTAATAATAGTAATAATATTAAATAATAACAATGAGAATAATAATAATGGCGGCGCGATGGTGTAATGATTAGGTGCCTGGCATTGTTGACGCAGTGTCCGGGTTCGAATGCAAAAAAGATCCCAGCCTATCACATGCATGCAGTTTGGTGATGAGATAATGATGTGATGACGAATACGGTGGTGATAATGATAGTATGATATAATGGGGTTTGGACGGAAGTGACGACAATGACGTCATGAAGATGCTAATATGGTGACGGTAACTTAATGATGAGAGGATAATGATGATAGTGACGTAATGATGATTAGGACATGAGTGAGTTAATGACAAAAAGAAAGGAGTCAGTGAGAAGATGAGGAATTATTGAAAACAACGGTGGAAGTGTGATTGATGTTCAGCGTTCCGATTCTGACCATCCTGATGTATTATACAAAATTATGATGAATGTAGTGATGTCTCGGATGATGGAGATGATGATGATGGGGATGATGATGATGGAGATGGAGTTGATGATGATGGAGATGATGATGGTCGTGATAACGTTTATCTTACATGATGATGATAAAGTAGAGGAGAAGACGACGATGGTGATGAAGATGATGATGGTGATAACTTTCATTTTACACGATGATGTCAGAGGCGATGATGATGAGGATGAGGAAGAAGAAGATGATATAGATAAAATCCCCATCTATCACGTGAAATGCGTGAGATACTTGTGTGTGTTTTTGCTGTGGAAAAAACTTTGAAAAAATACCTAAAAGAGAATAGTAGATAAAAGATATCATAGAAATGTGTCGACCAGAGATACTTGTGTAAAAAAAATTGGATATCAGAAATAAGTAGACCAAATATATACGTAGAAAAATGAATTAATAACCAAAGGCGACTGACCTGGAAAAGGCAAAAGTCTCTTCCGGCGCATTTGTGGTTCATGAAGTTGGTGACGTCAATGCTGCAACCCTGTTGACCGTAGTTGCTCTTCATACATCTGCCCACATTCATCCGTCCGTATCTTTGGTAGGGGGTGGTGGGGGTGAATTATTGTTTTGAGGGTTTTCTTGATGAGAGTGACTAAGAAAATGAAAAAAGTAGAGAGAGAGAGAGAGAGGGGCATAAGAAGAGAGATAACAAGGAAAAAGAGTTATAAAATAATGGTAGAAGGTGTGATCACATAACACGTGATAGCGTTACAAATTGTATTTGGCGTGATAATATAGCATGTGGTAAACTAAGAAATTGCACTTTTTCATTAATTTTTCATAGTGCAAACCTGTCAGACTTACATGTTATTTTACAGTTGTAATTAATCTTT